TCTATAATTTTATCAGTTCAGACCTCACAACTGACACGTTGGTAATTTGTCAAAGTTCCACCAGACATTGTACAAACCATTTCATGGCTTATATCTACACTGAGAAACCCTGTCTCTAAAAAAAAAAAAAAAAAAAAAAAAAAAAAAAAAAACAGAAGTTTAGGGTATGAGCGCTTCAGTCAATAAGAAGAACTGAAGCATAGAAAGAAGAGAAATTAATCCCTCATCAATCAACCTTTATCATATTTCCCATAAGAAAGCAAAAAGAGGCAACCAGGTATTTTATATTTAAATGTCTCTGTTTATCTGTGGAACTCCTGAAGCAGAATTTGTCTTACTCCACTCGGAATCTCTAAGAATTCTACTGCGGTTCCGGGTGGTTGAGCAGATTCAGTAGGGTAAAAACACAACTACCTTACACAGTAGCTATAACAGCACAGGGGCTAAATGATAGTGGCTTTCTTCATTTCTAATACTGCGTGAAATTTATCAATGAAATTTCTGTTTTATACTATCAATCACATGCAGGAACCTATGAACTAGAAGATTTTCATATGAAAGCTTTCTCGGTAATAGAATCAATCGTTTACTATAAAATGAAAGCACCAAGAAAAAGCCAAATTCTAATGAACCCCAGGACTTTTTTTTTATAATCACTTCCAGGCATTTTGTGTCATAAGTCAGAGTTCATTCAGCCCTCAACCCTATTGCAATAGATCCTTTCATTGTTACCCTTTGAAATCATAAAGACATGGTGAGACGTCTTAATTATCCCAAACTCCCACAGCTGGTGATTAACAGGTGATGCATTTGACCACAAGAGCCTGAATTTCCACTTGTTACCCTTCACTTCTCAAATCTTTTTCTTTTTTTAGATTGACTTATTTCCCATGTGTATGTACATGTGCTTACACAAGTTTGCGCACACCACGTAAGTATAGGTGTAGTTCCCAAGGGGTTCAGAAGGCATCAGATCCTCGAGAACTGGAGTCACAGGAAGCTGTAAGCCCTCTGATGTGGGTTCGAGGAACCAAACCCAGGTCCTTTGCAAAATCTGTGCTCTTAACCACAAAGCCACCCCTTCAGCCCCTTTAAATCTTTTCCTAATTAAATTTGTTTGAATTTTTTTTTGCAGTGGGATCGAAACATCTGATAGATTTTAATGCATTGGTAAACATATTCATTGTGCACATACCACAATCCTAAAAGAAAGCTTTAATATGGAAATCACCTAGTAGTGAGTTCCAGGCCTGTCTGTGCTCCATAACAAGATGGTATCCAAAAATATAAAACAAGGAGTCGGGGGAGGAGGAATGGCCAATCAAAACAAAAACAAAAATCTCAAACAACTTCAAAGATTATTCCAGGTATTATAACAGGCATTTTAAATTTTGTTTTCAATTTATTTATTTAGATTGATTTTTCTTCATTTATTTATTAGACAGTGTCTCCCTATGCAGCCCCTATTGGTAGACCAGCTCACAGAGATCCACCTACCTCTGCTGCCTGGGTGCTGGTCTTAAAGGCTTGTGCCACCATGCCCGGTTGAAAGAAAATCTGAAATAGATTTGTCTGTGTCTACATTCATGTCATTGGGAATTGGAATGAAATTCTACAGAATCTGCATACCCATTTGGAGAAGAGCTAGAATGTTGGCTCTGTTCAGACTTCTAGCCTGAAGCGGGATGTGTCATTCTGGGTCATTTTTCATTTCTTTTGTAAGAGATATTGAGGGTTTTCAGCACAGATGCTGTGTGTGTCTCGGTATGTCTATGGTGAGTGTTTATGTTATTTTACATGGATTTATATCTCTAAGTTCTGTTTCTTTCTTGATTTCTTCTTCCATCTTTCTGTGGATCCTAGGACTTGAACTCAGGTCACCAGGTCTGACTCCTTTGTTTCTTTAAGTACTAGATCTGTGAATATTCAAGAGTAAAGTTAATGTCTGTTTTCATTTTCGCCTCCTGAACACCTACCCCATATGCTGATAACAAGTGATACTAATATTGGACAATTATCAACAGAAGATTTTTAATAATGCAGGAATAATAATTTAGGTGTTTTTATATTGATTCTCTTGAACACTACTGTTCAAAATATAGAAAATATATCCATATCCCATATGAAAGAACTAAAATCCAGAAAAAGGCACATTGCACCCAAGCTTGAAAATTAAAATAACTATGCATATGATGCAATATTATTGATATCCATATAAAATAAATTTAGTGGTTCAAAAAACAAGATTTTCAGAATGTTCTAATGATTATTATTCAATAAAATATCGTCAAATAGTTGCTTGTACTCATCAGAAATATTAGTCTTTGACAATAATTTTTTTAATTAAAATTCAGTATAACAATATTAATAGAGCCCTAATTATAGTTAATGAATTAGAACTGAAGAGTACCTAAACTGAATATCAATAATACACACAGAGTTCATATTCTTTGAATGCTCGGAAGGGCACACCAGAACACTTATTGAAGAAAGTCATGAGTTCTCCAATATTATAGACCCGGAAAACTAAAAGTCACTAGAATTGCTAGCTGTAAAGAAGATAAGTTGTAGACAAAGATCATGTCTTTATCTGTGCTTGCCAATTGTAATCTTGACACCTACTAGAGTTACCCAGGAAGAGAGAGCCCCATTTTAGGAGTTACTGAAGTCAGATTGGCCAGTGGTCATGTCTTTGAGCATCGTATTGAGTAATGATTCATGGGGGATCCATTCCATTGTGGGCTGTGCCACCCCTGGGCAGGTGGTCCTAGATTGTGTAAGCTGAGAAAGCCATGAGAAACAAACTGGTAAGCAGTGGTCCTCTGTGTCTCTGCTTCGGTTCCTGCCTTAGTTCCCATCCTGGCTCTCCAAGATGATGGGCTATGATGTAGAAGTGTAAGCCAAATAGACCTTTTACCCTCAAGTTGCTTTTGGTCTGCATTTTATCAACAGCAAACTAAGATGTCATGCCTCTAGGGCATGAGTTATGTATGCATTAAGGTGACAAAAATTATTAGAAGTAAAGAAATAATTAGAAGAGTTCACTGAGAGTTTTGTATTGTCTTTGCAAGATAACATCCTCTTTCAACAGAAGATCCTCCTGAAAGTACCAGATAAATTTTCTATTTACCCACCCTTTTCCTTCAGTAAATAGCATAAGGTTCCTGTTATATGCCACACACTGCCCTGTGTACCAGAAGAGGAAGAGCAATACAAAAGAGCTCACAATACTCACATTTCAACCGCAAGCCTGTATTGCCATCCTTAGATGACATAGAAACTCACCACGTTAGACCACTGGCTTCTTCTGCATATGCTTTACATAATGAAAACCCCTATTCGCCGATGAGAGAGTTCCGTGAAGTTTCAAATAACACAAACGTTGGTAAGGCTGGTTGTCAAGATCCTCAGTCAAAAGAACAAGAATTATAGCCTTTAAGCCCTTGAACTTGGTGCTAAATCACAAGTTGCCACTGTTGTATATTAAGCACAACCTGCCTTTCAGCTACTTAGCACCATCACCTACCACCACCAGGTGTGGTGCATTTCCACTGTCCCTAGGAGTTGCTTAGCAACACATGCACCCTTTAAAAGGTCCCTCTGATTATCACAGCTCTCTCCCATTCTCTCTCTCTCTCTCTCTCTCTCTCTCTCTCTCTCTCTCTCTCTCTCTCTCTCTCTCTCTCTCTCTCTCTCTCTCATTCTCTCTGCTTGTTCATTCTCTCTGTCTCCCTGTCTCTCTGCCTGTCTGTCTCTATCTTCACTTCCCCTCCGGCAACAAACCTCTTGGGTTAGATTGGACCTGGCATGCGCGGTGTGATCTCTTAGTGGATCACCTTGCCCGGAACCCACAAAAGTACATTTCTGCAGTTTTATCCTAACAGTCACGTCACACAACTTCAGGATACATCTAGACAGAGAGGGGAAGACTCGATGGGGAAGATCGAGTCTTCCCCTTCTCTGAAAATCCAGGGGAAACTGAGGGTGAGTCACATTTGAAACCCAGCAACCACAATAGACAAATAATATAAACGGCACCGCTCTCTGTCACTGAAGCGTGGTAATGTGCCTTTTTCTAAATTAAACTAGAGCCATTGCTTTAAGTTGGTAACTTTTCATACCTACCCAGATGTCTGTCCACAAACGACCCCCATCTTACCTAAAGGTTTTTTTACAGGGAGAAAATGAATGGTGGAGAGTTATTAGAGACCAGAAGTACCATCAGATTACCATTTATAGCACTGACTCATCGTCCTCCGTTAGACACGCTGAGGATTTCCTCTATTTATAACATGGGGGTCATAGAATTCGCCGGTAAGAATGTGCGAGCCCGCAGGTGAAAGTTAGTACATGGAGCCTGGTACTCGGATGGTTGTTACAGTACGGCCCAAATTGGAACTGGCTTTGTGACAGACGTGAAATACTGGAGTCCTGCCGAGCAACTGCAGCAAGTCTGTACATTCCTCGCAGACCTGAGAACACAGTGGAAAGAAAGGTCAGTGCTCTGGTTTTCCCTAAGGCAGCAGCTGTCGCTGCTCAAGTGACTGTGGAATGTGAGGTGACAGCCCCCCTCCTGGCTGGCACAGTCATTGTCATCAGGGAGACAGATCACAGAGCCTCTATCATTTCTGCCTTGGACCGCCGTTCGCACATGTCAGCAGAAGACCAGAAGGCTGCCAGGAGATTAGAAACCTGAAAGACAGGAATGGTTGGGTCCAGTCATGGAAGTTCAGCCATTGCTGATGAGCTTAGGAAGACCTAGGACCTGGAGAAAATTGCACCTGAAATTTTCTTAGGTTTTTACCAAGCAACAAAGAAACCCAAGCAAAAGAAACTTGGTACTGAAATGTATATGTGTGGGGGTGGGAGGTGGGATGGTTAGAAAGAACATGTCTCTATTGGCTGAGTAGGGTAGAAATTTAAGATAACATGAGCAGGGTATATGTTTCTTCCCTTTTCAAGACCTTGTTTTTTGTTTTTCTAGCAGGATTTCCTGGTCACATCTTCAGGGACAAAGTAAATATGCCCCATTTTGACTTAGTGACAAGAATCATTTCCTGTAAGGTTCGTCCAGAGAAGAAGAAGAAAAAAAAAAAAAGACCCGACACAACCCAAAATAGACAAAAATAAAGTGCCATGTAAAATTTTATCAGGAAGGTTTTCAAGACATGTGAGCATGATTCTCCAGTTTGCTCTTAGACTAACTATTTCAGTTTTGCTTCATGTTCCTTCTTAGACACATAAACCTGGTTATTGCTCAACTATATCCCACTACCTGGAGTGCTTGGCCCTGTGTCCACTTCCCAGACTTGTTCTTAAAAACTCCCTGTTTGTCTCCATTTCCCACCTCCTCCGTATATTCCATCCTCATCCTGAGCACTCCTCTATTGACCGACCGAGCTGTCTGATTTAAGAAGGGAAATGTGTCGTTTTTCCACACACTAGAACAGGAGAAACACATGGAACTATATGGGCCATTTGCCTTTCCGTTTCCACAATTCTCTTGCTTTCACTGCGGCCTTTATTTTCTCTACTGGTTCTTTAATGCCTTCATGGAGCACTATTCAGATTTGGGGAGAGGTAGGTGAAGATCCCAGATTTTATTTCTAAAGTATCCTTGCCACGTCTTTCCACCAGGAAGTCCTTATAGTGTTTAGCTGATGATGGCCTCTTTGGGCAAATGTGCTCATGCTCCTCTCCAACCTACCCCCCACCACTGTCCTCCGTCCTGGTCATATTGAAAATCCATCTCTTAGTCTATCAAGTTAGTACTCACCTGCATGTGCACTGAAGCGGCATTTACTCCAATGTCTTGTCCTGATATAAAATAGCAATGAAAGGCGTAGGCAGGAGCTAAATATTAACTGTTTATACAACATGTATTCTGTAGAGAAAAAAAATGTTCCAACTAGTATAATATGTGAAGTTTTTATGGAGAACTAAATTTCTACAAAGCTCTTTCCGTCATATGACATGTTTCTGAATGTTTCATTGAATGGTAGTACTCCTGGATATATTCTAACAGAAAGAGCAAGAAAGTATTGTTAGCTCCTGGGAAAGGAAGGAGCAATTTCCTCTAAGAGTGTAGACCCTGGAAAAGTGACCTTCTCCAGTGGACTACCACACATCCAAGAATATTTGGGCAGCACAAATTTGTCTTGAAAGATAAAAGAGAGAGACAGACAGACAGATCAGGAGCAGAGTTGGGTAGGTAGGTAAGGAAGGGAAATGAATTAGGAGAAACATGGGGATAAATATGATCCTAAAACACATTCTAGGAAACTGTCAATGAACTAACAAGACATTCTTTAAAGGAAATTTAATATACTCTGTACCAACCACATACATTTCCGAAAGGCACCACCAAGTATTGAAAACAATGGTAGATTTAAAAGAATTACATCATGTCATTTGGGGTGGGGTGTTGATGATAGTTAAGCCAGCAAAGGCCCTTGTGACCAAGTCTGAAGGCCCCAGCTGGATCCCTGCGACCCACGTAATTGGAAGAAGAAAAGTAACTTCCACAAGTTGTCCTCTGACCATGCACCACATTATACTCATAAATAAATAAATGTTTACAAAATTTTTTTAAAAAGTGTTATGGCATAGAGAAAACCCAGTAAGGCAAGTCATTTGCAAGGAAATGGATGGAACTGGAGACCGTGTTAAGAAAAATGAGTCAAACACAGAAAGGTAAATACCACATGTTTTTCACCCAGAGGCTGCAGTTAAAGCTGTAACAACCTTTTAAACATTATAAAGATACAAGATTGGCACGGGTTATGATAAGTTTCAACATACTTGAGGCAAAATATAGATTAAGTTTGTTCCTATCCATGGCTGAACTTGGACATTATATTACATACTCTTAGAGAAATTAGGCTCTTGAGAAAAAAATTCCTGATGATTTCATTAAAAAAAAAAAAAAAAAAAAAAACCTAGTATGTGGGACCTGATTGTTATTGTAGAGAAAACATACCCTAACCTCACTCCGGGCAGCCTAAGGAATGCTCAAAGTAGAATTTAAAGAACCAACGAAGATGAATCCAGTATTCTAGCTTACATCTGCTCCTTCCCACTATATCCAAAGACACCCATCCTCTTGTCCTGGGCAATATCTTAGCCATGTATAATGGAAGTGAAAGGGAAGTCTTTTTTAAAAAAAACTGGATTTGTCACAGAGGGTAGAAAAGAAAAATCATGCTGAAGAAAAACCAATCCCTGTGAGTAATCTGTGCCCTTGATGAGCTTTGTTTTTTACTGACCACACACACACACCTTGGGTTCTTAAAGACTAACTTACAGAGCTACATTCCTTACACTATTATCCCATGAGCCTCTGGGCACACCTTCTCTCCACAAAATGCCAGGATTCTAGAGTTTTCTATCTGTCCATCACAGCCTAAAGGTCAGGTATTTCTCTGCTGTCTAATTGCTCTCTAGTCTTATCTCAAAGTTTTCTCTTTCTGGGATTCACTGGGCTGTTCCTTTGTCCTGGGGTCTTCCTGTATAGTTACCTTCCGGGGATGACCTGTTCTGTCCTCGGTCCACTTTACCAAGCTTTCGATTTCCTTTGGCACCCTTCCCCTCCCAGCAGAAAGCCTCCCTCAGACAGAGATTCTGGTTATTTTCTTCCTTCCCGGGAAAGCCCGTCCACTTCCTTCCGTTAGCCTCGTTTGTTGTGACTGACTTACCCAGTGACCCCTAACTCCATCAGCCCCCACATTTCTTCCTGTTTTCAGATGATGGCACGGCCGGCCACCCAGTCTGTGAAAACAGATAACAACGCCAGCTCTATTCCCTCGCAAGCTGTCTTCAGCCTCAGCAACTCGACTGTCGCCCCTGGCTCTGAGTCTGCACAATCCTCTCTACTTTCTCTTCAGTCTCCCTGAATCGCCCCTTCCTTATCACACTTACCAGGGGCCAGATTTGCGTCTCCTTCCTCTGCCGTATCTTGGGCATTTACCTTTTCCTCCCCATGCAGATACCTGAGGCAGAGTTTCTTCGTCTTTCACTAACGTATCTCTGACCTTTCCTGTGGCAGAAAGTCTTCATTTTCAGTTTCCAGTTTAAAAAAAAAAAATGGATGGCCATCCCTTCTTACATCCTCATTTTACGCCACCTCTCCTTTTCACTCTGCACTGGGTTCTCTGTAATTCGAACAGGGAGCATATCCTTCCTCCCTGGCTCTTTGCAAACCGCGCCTGTCTTCCCCATGCTGTTTCCCTTTCTCATCCAAAGGAGAGAACTCTCTGCCAGCTCTTCATAATGCACCCAGAGTATCCCGAGAGCCTCACCGGTGAAATTCCAAGACTGGGTGGCGGGCATCAGTGCCAGCTAATAAAACTCCTGTGATGCCTATGATGGCACGAGTCTTCTGTGCTCTCTGGTGAAATTCCAAGACTGGGTGGCGGGCATCAGTGCCAGCTAATAAAACTCCTGTGATGCCTATGATGACACGAGTCTTCTGTGCTCTTCGATATGACAGCATACACAGGAGTGACTCCTAGCACCTGACACATGGCTGGCGCATCTGACGAAAGCGCATGTGTCCAGCAGCTACTGTATTAAACAGCACGGTTTAAGTGTAGGTCCCACATGTAAATGATACTTTGTGTGTTTTACCTATTGAACATACTATGGCCTTTTCATCACACACACACACACACACACACACAGAGATGATGGCAAAATAAAAACAGACCACATAATAAAAATTAGAGTATTTTGATTTTAGTATAAATATTGTGAAGATACCTTGCCAACTTAAAAATGACTTCATTAAAAACCAAAGAACACTGCGTTTTGCTCCTAAATAATCTGTTAATTGTCTTTTCCCTATTTCCCAGAATTTGTAATGCCCAGAAATCAAGTCATAGACAGTTATAAACTGAGTGGGTTTTTTAATCACCAAACTCTACCAAAAACAAAAATATATTAAAAAAAAAATCTCTAAAATTACTGTAGCAAAAATAAATATTTAATGCGGGATATTTTGTGACATGAGGTAATGAGACCTCTACAAGAGTAGTTAATCTGTGTATTGAACTGAATAGCATGGGTTTCACACACACACACACACACACACACACACACACATATGCATACACACATATATATCCAGCTATTTCACCCAATTCAAAGTATGCCTCAAACACACACCCAGTCTCTCTTGTTCCTTTTCCTCATGCCTTGCAGGACAAGGCAGAATTCTATTCCCACCTTGCTTCCCATTCACTTCCTCCTGGACCAAGAAAGACTTCACACTCACACATAACCTTTAGCCTGCCTTCCTCCTTCATCCGACTGCCCTGGGACTGTGCACGCTTGGTTCATCCTTCTCACACCACAAGCCCCAGCCCTCTCTCCTCTCGGAACTGCATTTGCTGGTGTGAGTAGGCATGAGGAACTCCTGAGCTGCAAACCAGACTGTGAAGGTATTATATCTGGATGTTTTACCTTTCTATATTTTTAAAGTAGAATTTAAATTGTCTAAAACGTCAGCAATAATGGGTAGTTTTTGGTATTGCCTCTGCTGGACTTAAGCAGGCTCTGCATGTTATGATACCTGGAATCACAGATATGAAAATATCATCTGGTTTATAGAAAAGGCTAATTGCATATTGAGGAAGTATTTGGGGTGATTTTCCTGTAAATTAAAGACATGCTAGAACAGTGGCTCTCATCCTTCCTAATGCTTTGCTCCTTTAACACAATTCCTCATGCTGTGGTGACCCCAGATCATGAAATTGTTTTTGTTGCTACTTCATAACTGTAATTTTGCTACTGTTGTGAACTGTAATGTAATATCTGTGTTTTCCAATGGTCTTAGGCGACTCCTGTGAAAGAGTCATTCAAAGGAGTCGCGACCCACACAGGTTGAGAACCACTGAACTAGAAGGAAGTAGGTTTTGAAAATGTGTGTTTAAAATGAATGGTTTCTCATCCTATTCCAAGCCTTGGTCTTGGTTGCTGGGGATAAAATCAAAGCCTGGTCCAGTGACCAGGTTCATTTCTTCTTAATTTCCTTTTTGTGGGTATTTTTTTTTTCTGCTTCAACATATTCTTTGTGTGAAACTGAAGTTTGTCACCCATTAGTAAGTTGTCAAACCAATTTAGTGTTGTAGTTCCACAGTGTAGACCACAGAGCCTAGGTAGTTTTCAGGAAGTCATTAGGTTAAAAGCACTCTCATAATAACGCTGAGACACCCCTTGTTTTGTACACAAGGATGCTACCTGCGCCGATGTCACAAAGGGCATTGTGGGTAAAATTATAGATCCTAGGCAATGCAATCAGACTGCACAAGCAGTTATTCTTCAAAGCTATCATTCACAGTTTAAAACTGTCAATTTTACCTAGGTATGTCCCTGGCAAAATGGTAAACGTGTTTCTGCTATTAAATCTCACCCTAAAGAACATTTCTTTAACATTCTTTGTGACAAAATTAAAACATGAAGTAAGATTTCCTATGGAGAACTATTAGAATGATTAATATGTCGACCCAATAGACTCTAAAAAAAACAAATATCTAGCCACCTCTGTGAGGCAAATTTGAGATTAGCTCACATAAGGTGAGAAGACCTATGGCAACGGTGGGTGTCACTTTCTATGACTGGAGTTCTGACTGAATACAAAGGAAGCTGAGGGGGCTCAGCATCCATCGCTCTCTGCATCCTGACCACAGACACAAAGTAACCAGTTGCCTTCGCATCCGCACACCAGGCCTTCTCAGCCAGGAGGGGCGGGGCCTTGCAAGCGTGAGCCAAAGTTAGCCCTTCTTCGCTCCTTCAGCTATGTTTGCGGGGCACTTTGCTGTAGCAAAGAGACAAGTCATGAATACAATTACTGTGCAGTCAAGTTGTGAGCAGGACTGCATCCTTTACAGATGAAACAGCCTTTTTATCTGAAAGAACTATTGGAAATTGTTAGGCTGACTGCAGAATTCGACACTTTCGGGAACAGGAGCACACTGTGGACTGTGATAAAGTTCCAGTGCCCAGCAGAGAGTGGAACAGTAGAAAACCTGAAATAAAACTCCCACTGTAGACTTGATAGCTTCCTGGTAACTTGGTGACTTTTCTAATGAGTCGGTGACACTAACAAATGTGACTTTGGGGTATTATAAAGTTAAGTTGACAAACATTTGGAAATCTGTATCACACAGTGAAAAGCTTTTCCTAACGGTCAATGCATGGTGTGCCAAGTTGCTTATAACTAAAAGAGCCACTCAAAGTTCAAAATAGGTGGGTGGGGCATACTGGTATAATCCAGCTACTTCGGACAGCCAGGTCATTGTCACATTTTCAGACTCCATGGTGCAAATACCATTGTAGAAATCACCCACTGAATGTGGATGGGATAACAAAGAATATCCACAAGACCTGCTAAGCTCCTCATCCCTTGGCGACACTGAACCCACTAGCAGGTTGTGTTTGCACATTGATCCATTTATACGAATGTATAACAGCAATGGGTTTGTTTTGTTTTGTTTTGTTTTGTTTTACGGATTTTATTATTTATTTATGTATATGATTGCTTTATCTGCATGTACAACTTTATGCCAGAAGAGGGCATCAGATCCCACTAGAGATGGTTTTGAGCCATGATGTGGTTGCTGGGAGTTGAACTCAGGACCTCTGGAAGAGCAGGGAGTACCCTTAACCACCAGCTGTCTCTCTAGCCCAACAGCAATGGTTAAAAAAAAAAAAAAAAAAGAGGCAGTCTTACATTTGAGAGGAGGTGAGTCTGACTTGGGAAGGACAGGAGCAGTGAGAAGGGAGAAATGATGTAAGTATATTTTAATTAAAGGAAGAATTTCTTGGAACAGCAAGGTATAACTAATCTGTAGAAATGCCAAGATAAAAGGTTAAAAGTTTTTTCCTCTTCTTTTTTTTTCTTCTTTTTCTCCAATCTTCTATTTGCAGACTGTCCCAATGGTTCTACTTACAGAACAGAATAGTGGCTATCAGATGCCAAGGAGAGTACAAGGAATAGAAGGTTGGGACATTGACCAATGGATACTAAATTTTAGTAACACAGGGAAAACGAGCGGTTTGTGAATAATGCACCGTGGAGGACTGTCTTAGTTACTGTTCTATTGCTGTGAAGGGAGACCCACCACAACCAAGGCAACTCTCATAAAGAAAGCATTTAATTGGGAACTTGCTTATAGTTTTGGGGGGTTAGTCCATTATCATCGTGGTGAGGAGCATGGCAGCGTGCACGGCAGGTACTGGAGCAGTAGCTGAGAGCTATATCCTGACCCATAAGCAGCAGGGGGAGAAAGAGGAGAGACAGAGAGAAGGGGGGAGGGAGGGAGAGAAAGACTGGGCCTGGCTGGGCTATTAAAACTTCAAAGTCTACCGCAGGTGACCCACCTCCTCCAACAAGACCACATCTCCTAATCCTTTCCAAACAGTTTATCAACTAGGAACTGAGTAAGCAAATGTATGAGCCTATGGAGACGATGCTCATTCAAACCACCATAGTGACTGTAGGTAAATAGAATATATTGGCTATTCCTAAAAACCAAGAAGGAAAATATTGAATGTTTTAAAGCAAGCAATAAAAGTTTGAGGATGAATGAATAGATAGATAGATGATAGATAGATAGATAGATAGATAGATAGATAGATAGATAGACAATAGATAGATAGATAGATAGATAGATAAATAGATAGATAGATAGATAGATAGACGATAGATAGGAAATAGATAAGTTCACCTTGACATGAACTTTCTACAGGATACCTCACAAGCATCTCCACTTTCTTGTTTTTTGTTTTGTTTTTGTTTTTGTTGTTGTTTGGTTTGGTTTGTTTGTTTGTTTGGTTGGTTGGTTGGTTTTTTTTTTTTTTTTTTGAGACAGGATTTCTCTGTGCAGTTTTGGTGCCTGTTCTGGATCTCACTCTGTAGTCCAGGCTGGCCACAAACTCACAGAGATCTGCCTGGCTCTGCCTCCCAAGTGCTAGGATTAAAGGTGTGCGCCACCACTGCCTGGCGTACATCTCCACTTTCTATATATCAACTTAATTTCTTTTAAATTTAAAGCATAAACTTAACAAAGAATAGTACAAAAGCCATATACAGTCAGTGGAGGTCATATTTCAAATACTGACTTTTGATTCCCCCCCCCCCAGGAGAGCACATGCAATACAATGGTCTTCTGTAAAGTTGGAGAGTAGCAGTGAGCTGCAGACCCCACTGAGATGCATGGTCACAAAGAAACAGCCCTCACCCCATAGGGTACAATGTGGCTAACCTATGGGATACAGAAAATTAGAGATTTATATTTTATGTATTTTCAACATATGATATTTATGCTTTGTTAGAATATAACCCTGTCATAAGTCAAATCTGTC